ATATATTTAAAATCCAACTCGTAATTGTAAATACGATAAGACGACGGTATGATGACAGGTATGCGCAATAAAAGTTGAGTTCATTAAGTCTAGTAATTTCCTGATGTACTCTTATTTACAATCCCGCAATCCTATTTATACGATTATTTATTTTTGCACTTGTATTTGATGTCCAAAGATGAGGAGACAGACACGTGACTTATTTGCTCGATTTTTCAGAGGAAATTGTGTGTTATCTTGATAAAATTGTAGTAGGGGGGAAACCTGTTCGTAATTGGTGCGTTGCGGTGAATTTTGGTTTTGCGGAGAAGGTTTGAGGGATAATTATGCCACGATGTCGGATCGTGGATGAGGAAGACGAGTGGTCGGGGTCTTTCGGTGGGATCGATTGCGAGGAGGAAGGGGATGGGGATGGAGATAAAAAGTGGAGCTCCTGCCTGTTATAGTCAGTTTCAAACACGGAGGTCTCCAAGATTATTTTCACTTGCCTCAGGAGAAGTTCCACCATCTTCCGAGGGAATTCATTTATTTGTGAGTATACCCCACGTAATAATAACTTCAATCAGTTGCACACCTTGTCAGACATTTAAAAAAAATCCTCTCCTATGCAAGACATTTAGGAAAAAACACATGGAAAAATATTAATAAAGTTTACAACAATATATTCACTATATTGTTTTTATTTAATGGAATTACATAACTAATGCTTTCAATGAAATGATTTATTTCACTCCGACAGATTTTTCGTTGAATTCTATTGGAAGAGATAAAATGCCGGGACAAGTGCAGGAGCAAAAAGTTAAACGTGCGACATTCGGCATGGGCTGCTTCTGGGCAGGTGATGCTCTATTTGGAGCAACACCAGGTGTCATCAGAACTTGCGTTGGATATGCTGGAGGCAGTAGACCTTCTCCAACTTACAAGAATATGTAAGTGGATTTAATCGATTAACAGATTTGAATTTCAATTGGATGAACAATTTTTTTTTGCAATAAATGTATTTTATTTTGATAAACAATTTCGTCAACAGAGGAGATCATACAGAGGTCATCGACATCGAGTACGACCCGACAATCATATCCTTGAACCAATTGCTGAGCTTATTTTGGAACAACCACGAGTACGGTCTCACAACGAAGATCAAGGCTCAGGTAATTCATAAGTATTCATTACCGTCTCAATTATGGTAATCATTTCCTGTTTTCCCATGCACCGACGAGCTTTATTAACATTGGCATGCTGTCATGAATGATCTTTATAAAATTCATCTATAAATAATCGTCTCTACGACGTGTCTCGCACGCTGTGATGAAATACTGATAAATTCGCTGTGTAGAATAGACGCATTTGGATTCTACCCAACATTCTTTACGTAATGGTAAATATTTGGTATTTATATCGTTTCAGTATGCTTCATTGATTCTTTACCACGATGAGGAGCAGAAAACTATAGCCGAGAAGTCACGTGTTCATGAACAGAGAGAACGTGGCGAGCACCTGACGACAACAATCAAGGCCTTTGAAAAGTTCTATCCAGCAGAAGAGTCAGTATTTTTCAACGGTTATTAACATATTCTATCGAATGATTGATATAATCCCTGGATAATTAATTCTTCCTATATTATTATTTGCTACGAGAATTCCGTAAATTTGTGGAATTAGAAACTAAATTTGGAAATTTGATTGCAGTTATCACCAAAAATATCGTTTGAGATTGCATCCCTGGCTGTTGGAGTCCCTCGGCATCACCTCGGACGAGGTCATAAAAACTTCTCCCCTAGCTGCTAAACTCAACGGGTACGTAGCCGGGGCTGCGACCCTGGAGCAGTTCGAGAGTGATGATCTCTGTCAGAATCTCAATGAGAAACAGTATCAGTATTTGAAGGAGTGCGTTATCAAGACTCAGGGCACTGGACTCTACTGCTAGCCCATTATAATTACAAAAAAAATCCATGGATTTCATTCATCATAGAATTTCAAATCTCAATTGGTCATCATTTAATGAGACAGAGAGAAAGTTATTATTTGAAGGACAAATCAGGTTGACGTTATCCATTCCAGAAGATTTCTCTTTATTTTCAAGATGATTGATTTGCCTCCAACATTAAGTTGGAGATCTGACTAACGTGGAGCCTGGAGTTCTGCGTTTTCTGGTCGTCACATCGTCAATGAAAATTGTTCGATTCTATTTGTCTTTAATATTTTTTATCTCAACGAGGAACAATATCAGTATTTGAATATTTGCTAGCCCGTTACAATGGCAAAACAAATCCATGGATTTCATTTATCATAGAATTTGAAATTAAAACTCATCGCCATTTAATGAGACGCAGAGAGAAAGATTTCTTATTTGAGAAGTAAATTCACAGACTTCAAGTATTTTTTTTTTCTCTGCAGCAGAATTCAGTATCATCTAATTTCATTGTCATATTTTAATTTAGTCTAATTGAAGTATTTCGAGATAATGATCATATTTACGGATTAATGAAGCCTTTAGAATATTGTTAGCTCACGCATTTGTACATCACTTTATGAATAAATTCTACAATAAAAAACGAGACAAAAGTTAATTCCTTCAATAAATGGACTGAAATGTTTATTGTGTCTGGAGATAAATTATACGACGTAATGG